TATTTGAAATAGCCAAGATATGAAAACAACCTATGTGTACACCAAGAGATGACTAAAGAAAATATGGTATATATATGCAATGGAATATTACTCAACCATAAAAAGAATGAAAATTTGCCATTTGCTACAACATGGATGGACTTGGAAACTCTTATGCTCAGTGAAATAAGTCAGGCAGAGAAAGATAAATACTGTATGCTTTCACTTATATGCAAGATCTAAAAAATAAAACATGAATAAATACTAAAAAAACAGAAATAGACACAGATACAGAGAACAAACTAGTGGTTACCAAAGGGGAGAGGGATTGAGGGAGGATCAAAATAGGTGAAGGGGATTAAGAGGTACAAATTACCAGGTATAAAATAAATAAGTTACAAAGATGTAATGTGCAGCACAGGGAATAAACTTTGTATGGTGTATAATCTATAAGAATATCAATTGGTATGCTGGACACCTGAAACTAATGTCAATTATACTTCAATTAAAAAAAGATTTGGCTTAGTAGGGGGACTACTGTGACATATTCCAAACTATTGGTGTCTTATGCTATACTATTAGTGGTTAAATATTTCTAAGATCACCCTTACTTATATATACATTGTGATTAAGCTTCGCCATATTCATGGAATTGTATTAAGCTTTCAGCTGGGTGAGCTGATTGGAAAAATATAATAGCTGCAGTCCAAGTATTTGTCAGAGAATATTATCTTGATTTTAATGCCATGCAGTGCTTTTTGGAAGTTGATATTAGCCATCTTCTTAGCCTAAGGATTACATGAGTGATATGCAATCCATCCATTCCCCATTTTAGACATGAAAATTTATCCCTAGAAATTATCATACTAAGTGAAGTAAACCAGACAAAGACAAATACATGGTATTGTTTTTATGTGGAAACTAAAAAAAATGATACAAATGAACTTATATACAAAACAGAAATAGACCCATGGACATAGAAAACAAATGTATGGTTACCAAAGGGGAAAGGTGAGGAGGAGGAATAAATTGGGAGTTTGGGATTAACATACACACACTACTATATATGAAATAGATAACCAACGAGGACCTACTTTATAGCACAGTGAACTATACTCAGTATTTTGTAATAATCTATAAAGGAAAAGAATCTGAAAAGAAATATATATGTTTGTATAACTAAATCACTTCGCTGTACACCTCAGACTAACACAACATTGTAAGTCAACTATACTTCAGTAAAAAAATTAAAAATATAAAAGTTTATCCTTGAATTAGATTTCAGCAAGATCTGTATTTTAGAGTGAATTGTTTTATCCCTTTCTTGAATTGCTTTAACTAAATTGCAGTTGGTAATATACCATTAGTCTGCACTGAAAGATGTTTTGAGAAATAACATTCAGAATTTTCTTTCTATTGAAATGTATTCTTTATAAGAATTCAGGGGAGAAACTCTTCCCAGGGCCTAGTAGGGGAGAAATAATTTTGCTTCTTCACAGTTACTGTTTGTTTTCATGTAAGGAAAACTGTCTTTTGAGTAACAAATTGGGTTTCCCTTACTGGATCAAGCATTAACAATCTCAGATCCAAATTTGTTTTCTACCTTTAACAATTCTTCATTCTATCTTTATTTCTATTAAAAAATCTTATATGGCAGATACTTTTATAAATTTACATCAGTTTTAAGCAAGGGTGAGTACAATTAAGTAAGCAAAACATGCAAATGAAACACAATAAGCTTTCCACTAAAATATTTCTTTGTGTCCATGAAGCTGGAACCCAACAGCTAGATTGCAAGGGCAGGAGGCTCCAATATTTCTGTGACGTTTCATTGTCATCTGAGGCCTTCATGTTGTGTGTGTGTCATTGATGCAAAGATGCACATCTTTTCCACATTTTATAGTGAAAAATCTAGATGCACTTTACAATTGATAGTGCCTGAATTAGAGGGAATATGATATTTGTATGTATTTGTGGATGGTAAGGAAAAAGAGAGAAGTTGTCTTCATTTTCCCTTTAATAAACTAGCTGAAGCCTTGCCTTTTCTATTATGTATCACAACCTGCATCCCTCTTTCCCCATCCTCTGTCTGGCAAACCTGACGCACTTTTCAAAGCTAAGCACAAATATCCTGTTCCCTAGGAGACCTTCCTTGATGCTTTTGTTAAGGTTAGGGTACTTTTTTCATGCTTTTAGTATCCAGTTCCTCTTTGCACTTACTATACTCTTATAATTCTCTGTTCAGGTGTTTGTGAAGCAACATAGCAGAATAGTTAAGCACTTGGCCTCTGGAAGTAGACAACTTTGGATTTAATTTTACTATATTAACTTTTGGGTGAGTTGCTTAAACTCTGCTGCTCAGTTTGTTCATCTGTAAAATGGAATTATCGTGGTAACCTATCTCATGGGATTATTTCAAAGGTTAAATGAATTAACACATTGAGAGCACTGTTTGGAACAGTAAATGTTTCTCTTCTTCCTCCTCCTCCATCTTGTCTTTCTTCTCCTTTTTTTTTCTTCTTGTTATTACTATTTTTGTTGTCCTCACTGTAATGTGAGCTTGGGAAGCAGGAACTGCCTAAACTCCCTCTAAGTTTTTTATTTCTAATTTCATTTTCATTTCTAATTTCCCAGAACCTACAAGAATGCTTGGTACAAGGAGTCCTTACTAGATGTTACCAGTAAATAAAATCCTGTATTAGAGATGAATTTTGAGTGATATGTCATATTTTAGTGAAAACTGAACTGTGTTTATGAAAATGCTTTATGAAATTGAGCTAGTGTAACTATCAGAATATCTTTCTAGATGGTATAAAATCATTCCCTTTATTGGGAAGGATTCAATTACCTATTTAATAAACAGTAAGTGAGTGCCACCTGTGTAAGAAACTGTCCTAGCTACATGGGAATGCAGAGGCGAAAAGAACCTCTGCCTTCAAGGAACTAATTTTCTAATGTAAAGAAGTGAGAGCATATGTTTTTTTTAACTGGACATTTTGTTTGTTATGAAAATGCCCTTAAATCTAGCAGTTTGTGATAGTATATACAAAAATAAGAAAATTTATTATTCCATAAATTTATTTTGTCCCTCAGGATAATATTGAGAATAATAATTTCTTCCCCAAAGTTTAAAAAAATTACTATTTCCTTATCTATTCTCTGATACATTAAAAAACCAGAATTGAGAGGCTAGCTGTTGATTTCTGTGATGTATTCTTTAGATTGAGGACCATTTATGGCGTTAGATATTGTCCTTGAAAAACCTTTTGCATTTCTTGGCTTCTTTTAGTAAGTTATGTTTGATCTTACTTAGAACCACTACAAGTTGTTATATTGAAATTTGGGCCCTTAGTTTCAAGTTTTTCCACTGGTATCCATTTAACTCAATTGCCCAGTACATAAAAGTAGCTCATTAAAATAAACCCAGCTCTCTTATGTTTATGTTGTGCTTCTAAAAGAGCAGTAGCTTATGAATCCTTTTTTTTTTCAGTTGCTTGTTTCTTTTTAAAGAAAGTGCTTGGGCACCATTGACTTGTACAGTGAAAAATATTTTCTTGAGAGATATTCTTACACAGTCTCTCTTTCGTGAGAATTTTCTTTTTAACCTTTAGTTATTCCATGTGTTTTAGTGCCTACTCCCAAATTCTAGCTGATGTAATTTCTCCTATGGTACATATCTCGACAGATGATTCCTCCAAAATTTATGAGTACTATATAGCAATCCTTAATTCTGGGGCAGGATTCCATCTCCTGAATGTGGTTATCACTTATAGTCTTGCCAGTTTTGCTTCTTTTTACTTATTTTGCCCATCTGGCAGTATACTCCCAAGCCTTTACAATTTATGAATCACTGGCAATATTCACACCCAATTGTCTATGACTCACTAGGAATCTTTGCCAGATTTCTCAGCATTTAAAGGATATATTCCTATTTTATGTTCTCTTGTTTTAACAGGAACGGTTGGCACATATGCTTCTTTATACTGTAATTTCAAAAATGGATGCTAGGTTGAAAATCGTTCCCATATTTAAATCATTTACACATGTAGCCTCTTGTTCTAAAAACTCACAAATTAAGACCTCTTTAGGGGCTGCTTTTAACAAGTGTGGATGTCAGACTTAATGTGAACTTCTCTAGGTGAGACATTAGAGTGAATAAATTATTTCAGTTCTGTAGGAAAATTGGGAATGTTAACTCTCTTTAGATGAATTATAATTTCCAAGGATTTCGTCCTTGTTTCCAATAATGATAAAAGCATAGGCTCTGTTACTCACTAGCTGTGTGATTTTAAAGATATTAATAGCTTTTCACGTTTCCTCATTTGTAAATATTTGTGTCAATATCTATGAGGTTACCTCTTCAGCACTTTAAGAAATTCTTTACATGGAATTTGTTCCTTGGAAAATATTTTTATTGATTAGAAGTAGTTTAGAAGATACTTACATAAAAGATGAATATATGGAAAGAACTTAATATATTTTTTTTCAGACATGGGTATACCCACATATAATCATCTCACCTTGTTTTTTTTTTTTGTGGGGGGCAGAGGTGAATAACTCATTATTATCTTAAGTATATGAAGATAGCATATAACTTAACAGAGAACAATACCATATCACTATAAAAATCCTAAAGATATGAACTAATAATTCATGTATGTACAAACACAAAAAAATTACAATTTGATTAAAAACATGGGTAAAATATTCAGTCTCTATAGTGATCAAAGAAACACCAAGTAAACAGTAAAATTTCATTTTGAATCCATGAATTGATAAAGATTTAAAATCATAATAGGTAAGGGTGCATGGTTTTAGAAAATGGATGTTCTTTTTTAAAAAATTTCATTGAAGAAAGAATATCTCAATACCTGTGATTTATTCCAGGAGTTCTGATACAAGGAAATGGACATTCTTATACATTTTTGGTAGAACTGTAATTATATTATTTCTAGAAGTCAACTTGGCATCATGTCTCAAAAGCCTTAATATATTTCTAATGCACTGTGAACCTACAATTTATTTATAGAAATGTATTCTATATAACCAGAAAAGCCCCCACACACATATGTATAATATATGCACATATGCATATTAATTGAATATTGTCATTAACAGTGGGAAATCAAAATAATCTAAATCTCCATCAATAGATTTCTCATGTCACCAACAAAACTGTTCCTCCCTTGGTTTTCCCCATTTCAGTCAGGGGACTTGCTTAGGTAAAAAACTTGTTTCTTCTCCTTCTCTCACTTTCCATATAGGGTGAGTCCCAAGTCCACTTTTTGACATCCCAGAAAATAACAAGGGTTATAATGTATAAACTCATTTAAAACAATACATGGCTTTATGTTAACAGCATCAGAAAAGTAAAAAGAAGGACCATATACATCTGTACATTTACATTAGCTCAGAGAGAAGAAATACAGAGCAGAGAGGCTGGATATAACTTCTTTTTGGATGCTCGACTGTGTAAATAATTCTCTTCTCAACTACAAGTGTTTTTATGTACCAACTTTAGACTTTGGGTGATAGCCTATTCCTTGAAAGTACCTTAGCTTAGGAGAGACCTTTCTATAAGGCACAAAAACAAGGAAGATGAAGCTCTATCTAATATACTTATTTACCTTCTGAAATAGTTAGAATAATCACTTCCCATTGTTTTTATTACTTTATTGTTGTTTTTATTATATTTGGATTTGAGTACATTTTGAACCATCATATAAGACCTGTTCTTTAACAGCAATTGTCTTTAACAGCAATTGGAAGACATGTGACTTTCTTTCTTTCTACTGATATATGCTCTCTTGATAAAAGTTCCTTCTAGATGTTTTGGAATATTTTAAACAGAATTTTAAATTCTTGTGAAATATCACATACTGGCATTAATTACCTATATTTTTCCAATTGGAAAGATGTGGTGAAGTGAGTGCATTGGCTAAGTTTATTTAGCAAGAAAATCAATATATAAAAAAATGAAAGCAGATATACTGAATATATTGTGGTATTTGTCCAACTGGTCTTCCCCTAACTTTATATTTTCACTCAGCTTACATAAAATGGAGGCTGCAAGCAAAACACAGTGCTGTCTAAACGTAGTTGTCATTGTGGCCTAACAAGTTTGATTAGCTCCATTAGCAAGAATACCCTGCAGGGAACTTTAGGTAAAAAACATTAAAAACTTGTATTATCCATAAAAAGAAACGAAATTGAGCTATTTGTAATGAGGTGGATAGACCTAGAGTCTGTCATACAGAGTGAAGTAAGTCAGAAAGAAAAAGACAAATACCGTATGCTAACACATATATATGGAATTTAAGAAAAAAATGTCATGAAGAACCTAGGGGTAAAGCAGGAATAAAGACGCAGACCTCTTAGAGAATGGACTTGAGGTTATGGGGAGGGGGAAGGGTGAGCTGTGACAGGGCGAGAGAGAGTCATGGGCATATACACACTAACAAACGCAGTAAGGTAGATAGCTAGTGGGAAGCAGCCGCATGGCACAGGGATATTGGCTCGGTGCTTTGTGACAGCCTGGAGGGGTGGGATGGGGAGGGTGGGAGGGAGGGAGACGCAACAGGGAAGACATATGGGAACATATGTTTATGTATGACTGATTCACTTTGTTATAAAGCAGAAACTAACACACCATTGTAAAGCAATTATACCCCAATAAAGATGTAAAAAAAAAAAAAAAAAAAAAAACTTGTATTATCAACAAATTCTTAATCCTAGCTGAGTCTGGTAGCCAATTTAGAAATTGGTTGTCTCAAGCAGTTGGATTTACCGGGGTTACTGTATCAGTATCATATCTGATACTTCTTTTTTGTTAAGATACAAGTAATAGACTTCTGCTGCCTTCCTCATTATTCCATTTCCATGGGATAATCTGGATTGCCATTGAAAGCATTGTTCGGCAATGTGAAAAAGCATTCATTATAAGGCACTGGATATAGCCAACAGGAGTCCTTTTAATTTTTATTATTAGTTGAATTAATGAAAACTTCACAGGGAAAAGGGAATAAAATATCTCTGCTCATAGTTAGTGCCATATTCTCATTTTTATATTGGTTATATTTTTTAAAAGTTAATGCTTTATAGGTTAATGTGCTTTATATAGAAGTCAAAAAGAATCAGACTGGTTTTGGAGAAGAAGTAATATTGCCTTCTTTGTACCATTGCCTTCTTTGTACCATTCTCTGGTAAAAACATTTCAGAGATTTTATAGGTCATAATTTCAGATTCACATATTTAGGGAAAAATATTATTTTTCCCTAAAAGTTCTATTTGATTTATAAAGTCAATATGATCCTACCCAGATTCAGCCAGAGGTTTTCTCCTGGTCTTCAACATTCAGATTTCTCATCACACTAGTGGCAGATAACAACTTATCTTCCATAGAGTTCTTGAATGGACTAAATTAAATGAATATATGTTAATCACCTGGAACAGAAAAGGTGCTCAATTCTAAAAAGAAAAGAAAAAAGAGAGAGAGAGAGATGCCCATTTATCACCAACCCTTTCCCCCGACATTGAACCAGTTCTCCTTTCCTCTGAACTACTATGGCACTGGGGACTGTGCCATTTCTTTGCTATGTCATTTACTACCTCGTATTGCTAATGTTCTTAGCATTAATAGTTTGAATTCATCATGTTTCACACCAAATCTGTTCCTCATCCGGGATTTCTATCATGGTGAGTGGTAGAACACCATCCAAAGAGGTGTTTAAGCACAAACTGGACACCATGTGTGACTCTCCCATCTGATTCCTCAACAGTAAATGTGAAGTTCTGTGCCATCTCAATATCTCTGTTCTCTGCCACTTTTTGACGTCTTTCCTTAGCTCAAGGTTTGATCACCTCTTGCCTGGATTACTGCTACAACTTTCCACAGCTGGTTGGATTCCAGCATTGTTCACATTTAATCCATTCTCCCTCATGCAGCCAAAAATATATTTGCTAAAATGCAAATATGACCTTATCACTTTCCTGCTTAAAATTTTTCATTGGTTCTGAAATACTTTTAAAGTCCAAATTTCCTACCATGGCATACGAAATATTTTATGATCTAACACCTACTTAGTTATCTAGCTTTATATCTGGGAACTCTTTCCACTGTCCACTCTAATTTCCTCCCATACTGAGGTGAACACAGATGTTAACTATGTTGATGAATGTGGAATGGGACTTTTCCTTTTGTCTTAGAATTTCTGCTAAAGCCTCAAAGTTAAGGGCAGTAGGCAATAGGTATTTACGACTTCTAAAGAGAGCTGCTAGACATTTCTATAGAACAGCCTAAAACATAATAATGTAAGTTTGTGACTTATCATTTTCTATCACCCACATCCAACCTATACAAAAGAAAATTAGAAATGCAAAAGACAGTTTATTGGAAAGTAGGAGAATTACTAGTGGCGATGGTGCTATGGTATTTCCCTTCCTCTCACCATGGAAATCCGATGGACTTCATCCACTTCCCCCAAACGCATGAGGAGTCATCAGAAGTATCACTTACAGAGGTTGGAGTTGTCTGAAAGAGGGGAATTCATATCTCTTGTTGTATGTGTACTGTACTGTGTATTGCTAGCTTGGACTCTGGTATGTACTGGAGCAGAGAGTTGAGAGAATTCTTGGAAGAATTCTCCCCTAGGGATTTGAAACATATGAACACAGAGCCTTGTGATTGCCTTCCCCTGGTGAATTTGAAGTCAGGAAGCTGACTGGAATACCAATGTGAAGAAGACAAGGCAACAACTGGTAGAAGAAGCATTTGTCAGAGCAAGAATATGGGAGTTTCCCATAGGCCAAGTGGATGTTATAGAGGGAGCACTGAACTGCAGGGGTGAAGAGAAGCCTGCTATATGTTCTGCATGAAAGTGTACCTCCAGCAGCAGGAGTTTGGAGGGTTTGCCAAAGATCTGTGGAGTATGTGTCTGTTTGGAACAAATGCAGTGCACAGGACCCTGCAGAGGCCAGGGATGGTCTCTAGAGAACATCCAAGCATCTCATGAAGCAACCAGCATTTGAACGCTCTCCATAGTGCAGGGCCTGATATCCAGCTGGGGTCAGCCAAGAGAGAACTACAAGCATACCTGCCAAATATGAAAACCTCTGCCATCTGTCTTCTAATCCTTTCTCCCCTTATTCCCTATGTTGGGGAAGCTTGGAGGGATGGAGAGGAGATAGAGCAGGAAGAGTGAAGAAATGGACCAAGCTCCCTACCCACCACAGGTCTGGGGGATTAAGCTGGGGAGAGGAGAGAAAGTATGCTTAACTCATTCCTTCAATAAATATTTATTGAGAATTTATTGTGTACCTGCCACTTTTCTAGGCACACGGAATACAACAGTGAACAAAAAAAGAATGATCTTTGTCTTTATGGACCTTATAACCTAATAGAGGAAGAGAAATGATCAAATTAAAATGATAAAAATAAGTTAAATGTATAGAAGGTAATATGCGCTACAGAAAAAGGACATATTGGGAGGGGGAGAGGGTTAAGAGTGGAAGAGATGAGAAATGTTTGCTAACCAACCAAGACAACCACATTTGCTGAGGATTAGATGTGGGGTATGAGAGGCAGGGCAGACTAGCGTGATTTTTGGCATGAGCAACTAAAGGATGAAACTCTCATTAACTGGGAAGTGTTCTGCTATAGGAGGAACAGGTTGGGAGCAGGCTGCTTTGAGACATCCAAGTGCAGATGTCATGTCAGGCAGTTGCAAGGGAGAAGTTAGTGTTAGAGAGAGAAATGTTGACACAGTCAGTGTGTGGATATCATTTAGATGAGACTGAAGTTTTGATTTATATGGCTCTGGAATTTTTAATACCTGAAATTAAAACTATTTTTAGAGCTGAAAGTGACTGGAAAGCTATCAGGTTGGCCCAGGGTGGTATTAAGGGGCTGGCATTTGAGAAAAAATCCAAAGAAGTGCATTAAACTCAGTGATAGAAGAACGATATCCGTCAAAAGCAGCACATTCAACAAACCCGTTACATCCTCAATGTACCTTGCTCTCTCAAATCTTCCCACATTTACACATGACTTTCTCTGCCTGGGTATTCTCCACAGTACCTTTACTTATCTTTGCCCGGAGAGCTAAAGTACATTTTTCTAAAGTGCACTTTTCTAATGCTTTATGGGAAGTGTTTTCCTATTCTTCTGGTTGAATCCATTTCCTTCCTGTGAAAGCTAAGACCCTTCCCTTTATGACACTGTTTCCTTGTTCTTTGTCCCATTCTAAACTGTAAGTTCCTTGAGGGCAGGGCACCTGTCTTATTACCCTTTCTGTCTCTTGTGTCTAATATAGGATCCTGAATAGTATATGCCCAATATATCATTATGAAACGTAAGCAAGCAGGTTAAGGGAAGAGATCATGCCTTATATGTTGTATTGTTTCCTATGGCACTTGAGTAACTTGTATCACACTTAGGAATAAGTCTGTCAGCATCAGTGTAGTGTAAGGAAGGCTGCTGGTCTGTTTTTCTTGTAATGGGTACTACACACTTGATAGTGTTAGACAGGCAGTGTCCCAGTTCCTTTAAATACTGGGGAGTTTCTCTCTAAACTTTATGAAGATGACAAAAAGATTTGTTGAGAATGACTGAACCAATGTTCTGAAATAAAACTGTATACATTTATCTTATGTGTAAATTACGATGCCTGTGAATTCTATATTTAGGTATTTCTCACCGACAACAAAATATACCCAAGTTAACATCTTTTTTCTGGTCTGTGCTCTTCTTTTCCTCAACCATTTCCAATGGTGTTCACTTCTGGCATTAATGTCATACAGGTTCTGTGCTGGGATTGTTGTGATATAGTTCAGGATTAGGTGTAGTTGAATAGTACAGAACACCTAAACTAACAGTTACTTAAATAACATAATTGTTTATTATTATTTTTTTTAATGAAAATGAATCCAGAGGTAGATAGTACAGGGTGGATTTGATGTTCCCATAGTCACTAGGGACTCAGGTTTTTTTCTTAATTTCTGCTTCTCCGTGTGTCTAGCATGTGCCTCCAACTTCGAGGCCACCTCATAGTCTAAGAAGGTTTTTGATGCTCTAGTCATTGTGTCCCAGTTACAGACCACAGGAAGAAGCTGGGAGAAAAAGAATGATAACAGGGAATTTCCTTCCAAAGGAGGCAGCTACCCTTAGGCTTTCCTGGAGTCCCACTCAACATTTCTGTTTACATCTTATTTTTCAGAAGTAGTCACATGGCAACTGCTTGCTCTAACAGAGGCTAGGAAATGCTGTCTTTTAGCTAGAACTGGGGTTCTATTCTATACAAAAATGGAGATTGGTGGCAACTGGAAAATACAGTCTCTACCATGGCTGTATGCTTGTATCAGGTTTACTGTTTACTACTTTGTCCCTTATTTTACTCCATGTCTTCTTAAATACAAAATCTTTACTTATTGATTTCCACAAAATGCCACATTTCTCTCTAATCTGCTCTGAAAATCCTGGCTGACTGCTTTGCTTGTTCTCAGAGGAGTAGCTTTGGTTGGCCTACCTGGCCCTGCTGCTCTCTTTCTAACCTCAATGCTCTGTCTTATATCTGTGTTCTCAGAGCCAGCTGTGTTCTCCCTGGAGGGCAGGGACAAACAGCAGGACTTTATTCTGCTCTCTTTCTATTCAAATAATCTCTTTCTTGTCAGAATCTGAGCTGAAAATTGCACCTTGGCTTTGCAGTATTTTAATACTTCCTGTGGCCAAAGGATGAGTAAGTGGAGGGTCTCATTGTGACCTGAAGTGGCAGCAGACTGTTGCTCATTTGTGTCAGGTGCCCTTCCATGCTGCTTCCGATTCCTAGGTTGGCCACCTCTTCCTTCCCTACTCGTCCCATTCTGGCACCTGAAGTGGCAGCAGACTGTTGTGACCTGAAGTGACCTGAAGTGGCAGCAGACTGTTGCTCATTTGTGTCAGGTGCCCTTCCATGCTGCTTTTGATTCCTAGGTCGGCCACCTCTTCCTTCCCTACTCGTCCCATTCTGGCACATCTAGGCACAGTCCCTTCAGTAGTTGCTGCTGCCTCAGTGAAGGGTCCCTTAGAAAGACAAGCTCTTGATACTCCACATCAGCATCACATAAAGCTCTATGAGCTTATAAGATTTTAATCGAAGATTTGGGGAACTATGTTGAATTCCAGTGTAGATGGTGGGCAACGGAAACTATTTTATAGACAGGACTTTTCCATAGTCAAGAGAGGACCATCACAGCCATTCAGTCTTTCAGAGGATGCCCTTCTCTATTGCTCCTGTGTATTAAGTTCTTTCTAAGTGAGAGTGCCTTTTCTCTGAACACCTTTGAAATAACCTCCTCTCCTAACCATAGGGACTGATTTCACACCAGAACCTAGTCCTACCCTGATTCCCCCAGCAGTTTATTTCTCCTTGTCTCAGTTACTTGGAAAAGGATAACACCCAGGAGAGTTCATAGTCACCCATTACATTCCAAGTCCCACAAAATAATCCAGAGTAGATACTTCAAGTTTCCCCACTAGTGTGAATTTATTTTGATTATGTAGTAGGTACTTGTACCCTTTCTTCCAGACACACACTCACACACATACAGACACATATGCATATATACACATCTCTCTACCAAAGAGGAACAGTATGAATCTACCCATAAGATGGTAAGCAAATTACCTGATATTTTCATGCCACAACAGGATTCACTGAGAAAGGCTTTGGGGAACTTTACCACTGTGGACCATGTGTCCATTTTTCATTCTGATATAGAGTTGCCATATGTTTTAAATAGTGAGCAGCACTGGAAGAAATCTATGTATGTGCCGGCTCTGTGGCCCAGCCATTTGTTTGTTTTGTTGATTTTGTGGCATGCTTGTTTGGAAATGAAGGTGTACTGATCTATAAATGGGAAATATTCTCAGAAAAGGCAGTTTTGGAAGGTTTTGTAGCTTAAAGTAGAATGTAAGCATCTGAAGACCTCAAATGGGAGAGATAGGATTGAATTATTGTAAATAGTTTAACCATCCTATGGATTTGTTTGCATTGTTGAATAACATTTTATTCACACCACAAAATAACATCTTGATAAAATAAAACTTGATAGTTAACTTTTCTTAAATAGGCTTTATATTTTAGACCAGTTTTAAGTTCAAAGCAAAACTGAGCAGAAGGTACAGACCTCCTATATACCCCTGTATGGTTAACATTGAATGTGAAGTATTGATTCCTGTTCCTGCCACCTAATTATAGTGAAATTCACTTCTCTGTTGGATTTTAGTACTATTGAACTTAACTTACTAGTGATCACTGGGGATAATCATTAACTTCTAGGACATAGAATGACTTCAGCATAACAGTATTCTCTTCTGTTCAATGTTTATTATTTGATAACTTAAAATGCTGTTTTTGTATCATCTTTAATTTCTTTCATCAGTTTCTTATAATTTTCTGCATACAGGTCTTTTGTCTCCTTAGGTAGGTTTGTGCCTAGATATTTTATTCTTTTTGTTGCAAAATGTTCATTGCAGCTCTATTTATAATAGCCCGGAGATGGAAACAACCTAAGTGTCCATCAACGGATGAATGGATAAAGAAGATGTGGCACATATATACAATGGAATATTACTCAGCCATAAAAAGAAATGAAATTGAACTATTTGTAATGAGGTGGATAGACCTAGAGTCTGTCATACAGAGTGAAGTAAGTCAGAAAGAGAAAGACAAATACCGTATGCTAGCACATATATGGAATTTAAGAAAAAAAAAATGTCATGAAGAACCTAGGGGTAAGACAGGAATAAAGACACAGACCTACTAGAGAATGGACTTGAGGATATGGGGAGGGGGAAGGGTGGGCTGTGACAAAGCGAGGGAGAGGCATGGACATATATACACTACCAAACGTAAGGTAGATAGCTAGTGGGAAGCAGCCGCATAGCACAGGGAGATCAGCTCGGTGCTTCATGACCGTGCTTCGTGACTGCCTGGGGGGGTGGGATAGGGAGGGTGGGAGGGAGGGAGATGCAAGAGGGAAGAGACATGGGAACATATGTATATGTATAACTGATTCACTTTGTTATGAAGCAGAAACTAACACACCATTGTAAAGCAATTATACTCCAATAAAGATGTAAAAAAAAAATGCTGTTTTTGGATTGAAATGATGCACTTATAATTTACATAGAAATGGCTTCATTCATATGCAATCCCTTTATCCATTTGGTGAGTGAATATTTTAAAGTGAAAGTAATTTAGTTGTCTTTACATTGTTACACATCAATTAAAATAATCAGGTATTTAATGAAAGGGAATACTATGACTTTGCTATTGTGGAAGGTACCTGTTACCTGAACCACTCTTGAAGTAGTGACTATAATCTTGATACTGCTTTATCTACCTAAATAAAGGTAGATAGAGAACTAGCTCTGCTACTGTAAAATGTACTTGGGCTGATGATTTTTCTGAAGATGTCCTAGAGGTTCCACTTATCACTAGGAAGTAAATGTTATGGCCAGTGCTCCTTGGTGAGTTCTAAAGCTTGCTCTGAGAGCTCAGAAACTTCCACTCCACCATTTTTTCATGCATGGGATGATGAGTTTGCTCTAGGGAACAGTTTTTTTAATCTAATAAAGTAGTGATTTGCATTTTTCATACTTTTCTCCTTGAAGCTTCTAATTCTCTTGAGTGTTATATTGTGTTTCTGTGACTGAGGGGAGGAATGTACATAAAGATTATTTTTTAAAATATTCTGCCTTATTATCTTTTTGTGCTCATTTTCCCCTTTTGAGCTGTTATATTAAAATTTCTGGACTTCATATGTATAAATTAAAATTTTCTTTCTTTCTCTACCCTTTCTAAAATCTTCATAAAGATTCTTCTCATATCCCTTAAATGTTATCTTCTTAGGAGGAAGAAACTTGGCCTAAACTGTCACATACATTTTTCATGAATGTTTGCCTGGTGTGGAGAATGCCTTGCAAAGTCTAAGAATTTTGCCAAAGGTGACACATGCATTATATCCCTTCTTTCAACAATTCATTCACCAGCTCTGTATTGAAGAATACATTTTCCAGGCACTGTTCTAGACACTGGTAAGATAAGTGAGACAGATATGGTTGAGGCCTGAAGGAATTTACAGTCTAATAGGGGAGACAGATTTGTGAGTCAGCTACAGGCATATGTTGGAGATATTGTGAGTTTGGTTCCAGACCACTGCAATTAGGTGAATATTACAATAAAGCAAGTCACACAAATATTTTGGTTTCCTAGTGCCTATAAAAGTTATGTTCACACTATACTGTAGTCTATTAAGTGTGAAATAGTATTTTGTCTAAAAAACAAAATACATACCTTAATTAAAAAAATACTGTATTACTAAAACATGCTAACCATCATCTGAGCCTTCAACAAATCATAATCTTTTTGCTGGTGAAAGTTCTTGCCTCAGTGTTGATGCTGCTGACTGATCAGGGTGGTGGTTGCTGAAGTTAGGTGGCTGAGGCAGTCTCTTGAATAAGACAGCAAGGAGGTCTGCCACATTGATGGTCCCTTCTTTCATGAAGGATTTCTCTGTAGCATGCAAGGCTGTTTGATAGCACTTTACGCTGCTCAGTAGAAGTTCTTTCAAAATCGGAGTCAATTCTCTCAAACCCTGCTGCTGCTGTGTCAACTAAGTTTATGTAATATTATACATCCTTTGTTGTTATTTTAACAATCTTCACAGCATCTTCACCAGGAGTAGATTCCATCTCAAGTAACCACTTTCTTTGTTCCTCCATAAAAGCCAACTTCTCATCCATGAAAGTTTTATCATGAGATGGCAACAGTAAATTCCTGTCTTCAGGCTCCACTTCTAATTCTAGTTCTCTTCCTATTTCCACCATATCTAGTTACTTCCCCCACTGAAGTTTTGAACCCCTCAGAGTCATCCATGAAGTTTGTAGTAATCAACTTCTTCCAAACTCCTGTTAATGTTGATATTTTGACCTCTCTCCATGAATCATGAATGTTCTTAATGGCATCTAGAATTTTAAACCCTTTCTAGAGGTTTTTAGTTCAGTTTGCCCAGATCCATCAGAGGAATCACTATTTATGGCAGCTATAACCTTATGAAATGTGTTTCTTTATTTCAATAAGAAAATCTATTGAAGACAAGAATAATCTATTTTTATACTTTGGTGATTTCCATATAAAAACAGTAAATATTTATTTTGTTATAATGATTGACTAAATTATAATTCTCCTCTCTGTCATTGTCATTTAGAAGTGTCCAATATGCAACATATAATTCCTTGAAATTCTGCTTTTATTTTTTGTTGTGACTTCAAATGTAGTACTTAGAAGGATTTAAGAGTAGATAATCTGGTTGTATCTAGGTCTTGCAGCTCAAAGGTCTTGCCGATAAAGAACAGCAGCAGCATCTGCTGCTGGTAGAAATGCAAAATCTCATGCCCCATCCCAGATCTACTGATTCAGAATGTGCATTTTAACAAGATTCCTAAGGGAATCACATTTATGAAATGTGTTTCTTAAATAATAAAACTTGAAAGTGGAAATTATTCCTTGATCCATGGGGTGCAGAATGGATGTTGTGTTAGCAGGCATGAAAACATGAATCTCATTGTACATCTTCATTGGAGCTCTTGTTTGACTAGGTGCATTGTCAATGAGTAGTAATATTTTGAAAGGAATCTCTTTTTTTTTTTTTTTTCTGAGCAGTAGGTCTCAACAGAAGGCATAAAATATTCAGAAAACCATGTTGTAAACAAATGTGCTGTCATCCAGGCTTTGTTGTTCCATTTGTAAAGCACAGGTAGATTTAGCATAATTCTTAAGGGCCATAGGGTTTTCAGAATGGTAAATGAGCATTGGCTTCAATTGAAAGTCACCAGTTGCATTAGCCCCTACCAAGAGAGTCAGCCTGTCCTTTGAAGCTTTTGTCAGTCATTAACTTCTCCTCTATAGCTATGAAAGTCCTAAATGGCATCTTTCTCCAATAGGAAACTGTGTTGTCTGCATTGAAAATCTATTGTTTAGTGTAACCACCTTTATTCATTATTTTAGTTGTATCTTCTGGATAACTTGCTGCAGCTTCTACATCAGCACTTGTTGCTTCATCTTGCACTTTTATGTTATGGAGGCACCTTCTTTCCTTAAACCTCATAAGCCAACCTCTGCTACCTTCAAAATTTTCTTCTGCAGTTTCCTCACGTCTCTCAGCCTTCATAGAATTGAAGAGAGTTAGGGCCTTGTTCTGGATTAGGCTTTGGCTCACAGGCACGTTGAGGCTGGTTTGATCTTCTATCTAGACCACTAAAACTTTCTTTGTATTAGCAATAAGGCTGTTTCACTCTCTTATCATCCGTGTGTTCATTGAAGTAGCATTTTAAATTTCTTTCAAGAACATGTCCTTTGCATTCAGATTTGGCTAACTGTTTGGTGCAAGAGATCTAGCATTTGGCCTAACTTGGCTTTGGACGTGCTTTCCTCACTAAGGTTAATAATTTTTAGCTCTTGATTTAAAGTGAGAGACATGTGACTCTGCCTTTCATTTGAACACTTAGAAGCCATTGTAGGGTTGTCAATTGGCCTAATTTCAATATTGTTGTGTCTCAGGAAATAGAGAGGCCTGAGGAGAGGGAGAGACTTAAGGAAACATCTAGTCAGTGGAGTAATCAGGACAAGTACAGTATTTATTGATTAAGCTCTCCGTCTTATATGGGCAGGGTTAATGGTGTTCCAAAGCAATGACAATAGTGACATCAAAGATCACTGATCACAAATCACCATAACAAATATAACAAAAATGAAAAAGTTTGAAATATTGTGAGAATTACCAAAATATGACCCAGAGACGCGAAGTGAGCACGTGTTGTTGGAAAAATGGTACTGATAAACTTGCTAGATGCAGGGTTGCCAGAAACCTTCAATTTATAAAAAAAAATTGTGTGTGCCTGTATTATAGTCCTGTGGGATAAATGCTATGATTTCAGAAATAGGCTGCCTTTGAGTTGAGTTTTGAAAGGGTAAGTAAGAATTAGCTTGAAAACAGAAAGAAAAAAAGGCATTTGAATGGAGGAGGGTCTGAAACAGTATATATGTTTAAAGCATTTTAAATCCATAGATGTGGACTAAGAGGAAGAAGCATGGTAAGGAGTGATAGAAGAAGTTACAGTAGGTAGGTGCCTCGTCATGAAGAGTTTGTGTGCAAGCAAAGAAATTTACCCCTAATGTGAAAATTATGGGGATATACAAAAGGATTTTTTTTTACATCTTTATTGCAGTATACTTGCAATACAATGGTGTGTTAGTTTCTGCTTCATAACAAAGTGAATCAGTTATACATATACATATGTTCCCATATCCCTTCCCTCTTGCGTCCCCTCCCTCCCACCCTCCCTATCCAACCCCTCCAGGTGGTCACAAAGCACCGAGCTGATCTCCCTGTGCTATGTGGCTGCTTCCCACTAGCTATTACGTTTGGTAGTGTATATATGTCCATGCCTCTCTCTCGCTTTGTCACAGCTTACCCTTCCCGCTCCCCATATCCTCAAGTCCATTCTCTAGTAGGTCTGTGTCTTTATTCCTGTCTTACCCCTAGGTTCTTCATGACATTTTTTTCCCTTAAATTCCATATATATGTGTTAGCATACGATATTTGTTTTTCTCTTCCTGACTTCCTTCACTCTGTATGACAGACTCTAGGTCCATCCACCTCACTACAAATAACTAAATTTCGTTTCATTTTATGGCTGAGTAATATTCCATTGTATATATGTGCCACATCTTCTTTATCCATTCATCCGTTGATGGACACTTAGGTTGTTTCCATCTCCGGGCTATTGTAAATAGAGCTGCAATGAACATTTTGGTACATGACTCTTTTTGAATTATGGTTTTCCCAGGGAATATGCCCAGTAGTGGTATTGCTGGGTCATATGGTAGTTCTATTTGTAGTTTTTTAAGGAACCTCCATACTGTTCTCCATAGAGGCTTTACCAATTCACATTCCCACCAGCAGTGCAAGAGTGTTCCCTTTTCTCCACACCCTCTCCAACATTTATTGTTTCTAGATTTTTGATGATGGACGTTCTGACTGGTGTGAGATGATATCTCATTGTAGTTTTGATTCACATTTCTCTAATGATTAATGATGTTGAGCATTCTTTCATGTGTTGTTGGCAGTCTGTGTATCTTCTTTGGAGAAATGTCTGTTTAGGTCTTCTGCCCATTTTTGGATTGGGTTGTTTGTTTTTTTGTTATTGAGCTGCATGAGCTTCTTATAAATTTTGGAGATTAATCCTTTGTCAGTTGCTTCATTTGCAAATATTTTCTCCCATTCTGAGGATTGTCTTTTGGTCTTGTTTATGGTTTCCTTTGCTGTGCCAAAGCTTTGAAGTTTCATTAGGTCCCATTTGTTTATTTTTGTTTTTATTTCCATTTCTCTAGGAGGTGGGTCAAAAAGGATCTTGCTGTGATTTATGTCATAGAGTGTTCTGCCTATGTTTTCCTCTAAGAGTTTGATAATTTCTGGCCTTCCATTTAGGTCTTTAATCCATTTTGAGCTTATTTTTGTGTATGGTGTTAGGGAGTGACCTAATCTCATACTTTTACATGTACCTGTCCAGTTTTCCCAGCACCACTTATTGAAGAGGCTGTCCTTTCTCCACTGTACATTCCTGCCTCCTTTATCAAAGATAAGATGACCATATGTGCGTGGTTTTATCTCTGGGTTTTTATCCTGTTCCATTGATCTATCTTTCTGTTCTTGTGCCAGTACCATACTGTCTTGATTACTGTAGCTTTGTAGTATAGTCTGAAGTCAGGGGGCCTGATTCCTCCAGCTCCATTTTTTTTTCTGAAGATTGCTTTGGCTGTTCGGAGTCTTTTGTGTTTCCATACAAATTGTAAAATTTTTTGTTCTAGTTCTGTGAAAAATGCCAGTGGTGGTTTGATAGGGATTGCATTGAAACTGTAGATTGCTTTGGGCAGTAGAGTCATTTTCACAATGTTGATTCTTCCAATCCAAGAACATGGTATATCTCTCCATCTATTTGTATCATCTTTAATTTCTTTCATCAGTGTCTTATAATTTTCTGCATACAGGTCTTCTGTCTCCTTAGGTAGGTTTATTCCTAGATATTTTATTCTTTTTGTTGCAATGGTAAATGGGAGTGTTTTCTTGATTTCACTTTCAGATTTTTCATCATTAGTGTACAGGAATGCCAGAGATTTCTGTGCATTAATTTTGTATCCTGCTACTTTACCAAATTCATTGATTAGTTCTAGTAGTTTTCTGGTAGCATCTTTAGAATTCTCTATTTGTAGTATCATGTCATCTGCAAACAGTGACAGCTTTACTTCTTCTTTTCCGATTTGGATTCCTTTTATTTCCTTTTCTTCTCTGATTGCTGTGGCTAAAACTTCCAAAACTATGTTGAATAAGAGTGGTGAGAGTGCGCAACCGTATCTTGTTCCTGATCTTAGTGGAAATGCTTTCAGTTTTTCACCATTGAGAATGATGTTGGCTGTGGGTTTGTCATATATGGCCTTTATTATGTTGAGGAAAGTTCCCTCTATCCCTACTTTCTGCAGGGTTTTTATCATAAATGGGTGTTGAATTTTGTTGAAAGCTTTCTCTGCATCTATTGAGTTGATCATGTGGTTTTTCTCCTTCAGTTTGTTAATATGGTGTATCACGTTGATTGATTTGCATATATTGAAGAATCCTTGCATTCCTGGAATAAACCCCACTTGATCATGGTGTATGATCCTTTTAATGTGCTGTTGGATTCTGTTTGCTAGTATTTTGTTGAGGATTTTTGCATCTATGTTCGTCAGTGATATTGGCCTGTAGTTTTCTTTCTTTGTGACATCCTTGTCTGGTTTTGGTATCAAGGTGATGGTGGCCTCGCAGAATGAGTTTGGGAGTGTTCCTCCCTCTGCTATATTTTGGAAGAGTTTGAGAAGGATAGGTGTGAGCTCTTCTCTAAATGTTTGATAGAATTCGCCTGTGAAGCCATCTGGTCCTGGGCTTTCTTTGTTGGAAGATTTTTAATCACAGTTTCAATTTCAGTGCTTGTGATTGACCTGTTCATATTTTCTATTTCTTCCTGATTCAGTCTTAGCAGGTTGTGCATTTCTAAGAATTTGTCCATTTCTTCCAGGTTGTCCATTTTATGGGCATAGAGTTGCTTGTAGTAATCTCTCATGATCTTTTGTATTTCTGCAGTGTCAGTTGTTACTTCTCCTTTTTCATTTCTAATTCTATTGGTTTGAGTCTTTCCCTTTTTTTCTTGATGAGTGTGGCTAATGGTTTATGAATTTTGTTTATCTTTTCAAAGAACCAGGATTTAGTTTTATTGATCTTTGCTATTGTTTCCTTCATTTGTTTTTCATTTATTTCGGATCTGATTTTTATGATTTGTTTCCTTCTGCTAACTTTGGGGTTTTTTTGTTCTTCTTTCTCTAATTGCTTTAGGTGCAAGGTTAGGTTGTTTATTCAAGATGTTTCCTGTTTCTTATTGTAGGATTGTATTGCTATAAACTTCCCTCTTAGAACTGCTTTTGTTGCATCCCATAGGTTTTGGGTCGTCGTTTCTCCATTGTCATTTGTTTCTAGGTAGTTTTTGATTTCCTCTTTGATTTCTACAGTGATCACCTCATTATTAAGTAGTTTATTGTTTAGCCTCCATGTGTTTGTAATTTTTACAGATCTTTTCCTGTAATTGATATCTAGTCTCATAGTATTATGGTGGGAAAAGATACTTGATACAATTTCAATTTTCTTAAATTTACCAAGGCTTGATTTGTGACCCAAGATATGATCTATCCTGGAGAGTGTTCCATGAGCACTTGAGAAAAATGTGTATTCTGTTGTTTTTGGATGGAATGTCCTATAAATATCAATTAAGTCCATCTTGTTTAATGTAGAATTTAAAGCTTGTGTTTCCGTATTTATTTTCATTTTGGATGATCTGTCCATTGGTGAAAGTGGGGTGTTAAAGTCTCCAACTATGAATGTGTTACTGTTGATTT